ATGTATTTTTCAGCCCGATTTATGTCATTATTCATTCAGATACGTTGTCGTCATCGTCGTCGTCGTCGTAATCGTCGTTGTCGTCTTCGCAAAATCATGTCTCCTTTTACTACACCTTTTTTCTGCTAATATCTTACATGGTAAAAAATATTATCTATTTGTGTTGGAATATAAATGTCAATTATACTAAAAAATATACTTTTGTTTACAAACTGTGTCAGTACTTACTTTTTTTGTGATCGTTTTTTATAGATAATATCTGTTTTGTAGTATATTCATCTTATGTAAATGGACACAAAAATTTGAGTGAACTGTTTGGGACATATGACGCATATTATATTCGACTTAAATTTTCCAACAGTGTATACAGTAATAGTACATGTTAATGCATTGGTTAATGGAACTATATTTTCTTTTTTTTACATTTATCACACAATATCTTATAATATTATAATCAAATATATTTCTTTATTTTTTCTGTGACAATGCAAAGCTGTATTTTTATGAAAGTTAATATTACTAATAATTTCATTCTAGAATCACATATCTACCATGACAGAAGAGCAATTTGAAGGATACAAGAAAGCTTTAGCTACATTACATTTGGAAAAACCAACAACGTTAACTGCAAGGTTTGCCTTGTACTGGTATGAGATTATGAGCCAACAATATAACTTCGATCGAGTCAATATTGAAATGACTTACTTAAAGACAATATCACGGCAGCAATTACTTAATTTCTTTAAGGTGATCAATTTACTTTTATATACAGAACATATCATTTAATGTTATTTCGAAAGAAAAATGTTTTATCATGAAAAAGAAATAAAAAATATAGAATGATTTTTTTATGAGATATAATTTTTGAGAGAAATAACTTCAGTAGTTTAAAAATTAATATATAATACATCTATCATATAAAATTTCCTAGGAAACTGTACATAGTAAGGATCGACGTAAATTATCGATACATGTGATATCCACAGCATTAACTGATGAAAAAGTTAAGAAAATCGACGATATTTTGTCATTTAAAAGGAGTCAATCTTTGTATCCTCTTATCTAATCGCTCAAAAAAATTTCCTCGTGAAAGGCGTATGTTCTTGTAGGTTATAAAAAAAGTGATAAAGTAATAGTGAATTAAACGAATGAATTTACTTACGCATATTTTAAGTAAAAACTTGACGCATTATTTTAGAGAAATTAATAAATCACTTGCAGTTTTTAAGGTGGTTCTTTAGTAAACCCACACAGCATTGAAAGTTTTCAGAAGTAATCTTCCAAAGGACTCTCCCAAATTCAAACAAAAAAAAAATCCAAAAGCAGGGCGATTGAGAGTCGGCGTGGTAATTAGTATGCAAAATTAATTCTTGAACCTTTATTCCAATAATCTTTGGACGTTTTGACTTTCTTTGGAGTCTTCTTCAGCAATACAATATTAAAATTTTTTCCTTTGCATGTTTAAGGCGAAGTCAATGGCTACGTTTATACCGTACGCTTAGTCCACGACCTATACGATAGGTGTCTTTGTTTAATATACAGGATAAACAAGGACATCTATTGTATAGGCCGCGGCCTAAATGCACGGTGTAAATGTAGCCAATTAAATTTGCTGATTTGATGTGTTGTACATCCTATTAAAACATTATACTACATGGTATAAAATATATTTATTAATAAGAAGAAAAACTAATGACAGATGGTGACTCACACCAAACATGAAAGGATGTCGTCTTAAAACATTGGTTCAAATAATGATAAGATACTATGGATTAACATTTCAAATTAAATGCAAATTGAGAAAGCCTTATTAAACACATGTTAATGATAGTTCGTGAGGGAATTAATGACTGATACAATTTAAATAATAAGTAAGACATGTCGATCACTGAAATAAATATTAAAAGAAGAGGCGAACATCAATATATAAACTGTTACAAGGAATTACGTGTGAGTCAACTAAATAAAATAAAACTATTTTATGTCTTTCAATCTGTACATAAGTGTGATGCAAGCTCTCAATATCTGAACGCAAATTGTGACTATTTTCTTGCATAAGATTATTAAGACATTCTGACGTAAGTCGCTTATTAAGGAAACGCTCTTCACCGAGTACTGCGACATTCTCCCAGTCGAAGTCGTGTTCAAAATTAATTCGATGTTCTGTAATCACCGAGTGATTATTAGTATTGCCGTTTTTAATATTTGTATTACTAAAGAGGACTCCAGAGAGAGTCGAAACGTTTAAAGATTGTGAGAATAAAGGGTCAAGAATTAAGTGATTATATAACTAATCGAATAATTGTCGTACTATTTTGTTAACATAAACAGGCTTAGTTCGTTGTAATTTAATATACGGGAAAAAAGGTTGTTTTGCTTCAAGAAGTGCCGCCGCATTCAATTAATCGAATTGAATCGCGGCGTTTTCTCGTCTGGATTTGAGTTTCCAGGAATTTTGCGCCGTTTACTTCAAAACATTAGACACATTAGGTGCGTTCCGTAACTTGCATGATGCGCATGATGCATCTATTGTTCTTGTTTAACATTTGGTGAGCAATAAGGATGAACGATGCATTATGCCACCGACGAGATATTATTAAAGACCGACATCCTTTTGGGAGTTCGCGTCCTTGTTAATATTGAAGTGATTAAGAGTAAAAAAACTGATAATATTGTACTAATTTTATGATTTATTAGTTTAGTAGACGTGTTTATCGGTGTACGTGCATTTAAAACTCAATAATACTCGATTTTTCTTTAAAATTGTGACTTCAGTGTTATCGTCAATGTTCGATTTTCAACAGAGATAATAATTGCAGAGAAAAAAATTGTAATTTTGCGGCAATATATAGGATATTATAGCTTTACAAATATACATATTTATTTATAGATCATTTATGTAATAAAATATCATGAATTTAATAATGTATTAGTCAAATATTTATGTTAATAATAGCAAATTTATATCAATTGTCGATAATGTCAGCGTTCTTCGATTACCTCCGGGCCCTTAGAGCCATTTTTATACCGCCGAAAATTTGCCCAGGGTTGACGGTCTTTAATAGTATCTCGTCGGTGATTATGCACATCATGCGAGGAACGGAACGCACTCATTCAGGAGTGCGTTCCTAAAGGCCATCACACGTAAAAAAAATTTAGTTGCAATCGTAAGGCCGTAAGCAAATCGGCCAATCACAGTCGAGCATTTTAAAACCCGAGATTGTAATTTTGATTGTGATTGGCTGATTTGCTTACGTTCTTACGATTACGACTAAAATTTTTGTACGTGTGATGACCTTAATGCGGGGTCTACAATAGAAATCGTAGCGATCGTAGGATCTTAAATCGTAGAAAACTGACCAATCAGAGTCGATTAATCTTCTCATATTCGACTGTGATTGGTTAATTTTCTACGATTTAAGACCCTACGACCGCTACTTCTATTGTAGACCCCGCATCCGTCACCTACGAAAACTGTTAAAGACTGTTAACCCTGGGCAAATTTTTGGCGGTATAAAAAGGGCCCAAAGAATCCGGAGGTAATCGAAGAACGCTGACATTATCGATAATTGATATAATTTTGCTATTATTAACATAAATGTTTGACTAATATATTTTATTAAATTCATATATTAAATTCATGATTTTTTGTTACATAAATACTCCATAAATAAATATGCATACTTGTAGAACTACAATATTCTATATATTGCCAAAAAATTATAATTTTTTCTCTGCAGTTGTCGTCTTTGTTGATAATCAAATTTTGACGATAATACTGAAATCACAATTTTAAAGAAAAATCAAGTATTATTGAGTTTTAAATGCATATACACCGATAAACACATCTACTAAACTAATAAATCATAAAATTAGTATAATATTATCAGTTTTTTACTTTTAATCATTTCAATATTGACAGAGACGCGAACTCGCGTAAATATGTTGGTCTTTAATAGCATCTCGTCGGTGACTGTCATCTTCAAGTTAGGTTAGGTTAGAGCCCTGTATATAAAGAGAATTGCCATGAGATCGGATCCCTACCATCCATCGACATCTAGAATGGACCGCTGATGGCAATGGTGGGAGTAGAAAGACGATTAGAGTGAGAGGCAGGAATAATAAGATCGTTCTTTCTCTGTTTACTGAAGCCTGATTGGTTGTTGGACTACTGTTGGATTAACAACAACCAATCAGGCTTCAGTAAACAGAGAAAGAACGATCTTATTATTCCTGCCTCTCACTCTAATCGTCTTTCTACCCCCACCATTGCCATCAGCGGTCCATTCTAGATGTCGATGCTACCATCATTTCCTGCGTTGCCATATTTGGACAGCTTCAGTGTTGTAAACAATAAACATACTCCAACCTTGCTTCAACCTCCAACATGAGATTTGGGCTGCGTTTCACTTGACGCTACAAACTTCTTCGAAGCATTCTTTGATTAGTCAATTTGTAAAATGCTTTGTTCTGATTGATCGCTCAAACGCTTCGAAGCGTTTGTAGCGTCAAGTGGATCGCAGCCTATGTCGGGTCTCTTTATATATAGGACTCTACTTCGAGTATCTTTTATCCTAGTTCAACATTCGGTAAAGAATAAGTATAAAAGATACTCGAGGTTCGCGTCGCATGCTCCAACATGCTCCAAAATGCTCCTATCATAGATCCTACTCACTCTATCAAGCGCGTTGGAGTGAGTAAGAGCTGTGCTAAGGTTGCGTTCCACTTAACGCTCACAACGCTCGTGGAATCATTTCATCCTTGTCGTTTATCAAATGTTAAATAAGGACAAACGATGATCGCGAGCGTTGCGAGCGTTACGTAGAACGTAACCTAAAAGCATTGGAACATGTTGGAGCATGCGATGCGAACAAACCTACGGTGTTGATAAAATCGAGTTTTGGGACGCTCCACTATCAGGAAATACGTACTGTGGAATTCGCATGGTGGTAGGCAAGAAGACTAGAACTAAGGAGGATCAACTCGTGCCAATAGCGGTAGTGGGGGTGAGGCAAAAAGTGGCGACGGATAACTTCCCCCACTCTTGCGCTTCATTATTCCTCTCTGTCGCTCTGTCGTTCTATAATCGTCACTTTGTCGCTCTTATATCGAACTTTCACACAATGCGCAGTGCCGCTGCACATTGTGTGAATAACTGCGGACGTTTTTGACTCACCCCCACCACACGAGTTGATCCTCCTTAGTTCTAGTCTTCTTGGTGGTAGGGTTGAATTCTGAACAGTTTAGGCTGCGGTCCACTTCTTTCAAATGCTCTGGCTGTGTTCCAAATTTACTGCCAGCACAGAAAATGCTACAGTTTACGTTACGTGCACAGTAGATTTTCAGTACTGGCAGTCAATTTTGGAACACAGCCTCTGAACGCTACGCTCCAAACGCTACGCTCCGATTGGTCCATTACTGTCCCGAATGATACAATTGCTACGTGAACGCTCCAGCCAACCCACCTCCCGAGATGAGATAGTTGGAGCGAAGTGGGAACGAAAACGATGACGTATTGATGACGTATCAGGGTTGCTGGGAGCGTTCCAAAGCGTCAAATGGACCAGTCATGTTAGTGCTACAAATGCTCTGCAGCGTTTGAAGCGCTAAGTAAATCGCAGCCTTAATCAAATGTGACCGCGCTACACGATAGCATCGTGGCAACGTCGTGGTAACTTAACCTGTCGCAGATCATAGGAGGAATCGTATTAGGTTTGTCATGTCGCATACTCCAACATTCAAGACGCGCTCCTACCATAGCTTTTATTCATTTATTAAACCTTAAAGCTATAATCGCATTATTCTGATTGAGATTACCGGTTGACGATTCTACTTTAGCCAGTTACGATGAAGGTTCGTACTCGTTGCATCGTGATGATTCGCTAATATAGAACCGTCAATCGGCAACCCTAATCGGCAACCAGTGACACAAGTCGATTTGATCGACGGATCATAGCGGATAGTGAGTTTAGAACTTTGTGGTGCTCCGACTTTGTAATTCGTCTCCGTCCTCCAATGTTCGTTACACGCGCATTAAAATCCCGTATGCCGCTCGTATCTCGCCTGCTCTTCAGGTATGCAAACGCGTGTACATACGCCACTTGTTACTTGTCATCGTCCTATGTAGTACACCTGACCGCACCTGATAGGTACATCGCTCCTGTCATTCGCCGCGTCATCATATCGAATGTTTACATCGGTCATTAAATCGGAGTGGTTTAGCACAATTGGCGATTTTACGACTCCCTCGGCGAATGATTTCATGACGATATCGAGAAATTGTAAGGAACCATGAGCTCCCGTTCAAATTTCATCGGCGTATCGGTATATCTAACCTCAACACGCGTCGCGACGCTAAATGATTTTATCAGTGGCACTTTTTTTTTCCTTTTTGAGGTAATACAAGATCTTTGTGCGAGACGCGCTGTTTTCTCATTATAGAAGCACCGTGCATATGAGAGAGAGAGAGAGAGAGAGAGAGAGAGATGTGTGTGTAATTGTGTATGTTTTGTAACGTATATTGCTCCGCAAAGCCATCGCGAAAGTTAGTAAAGGTGAGATTTTGGTGACAGAGTGACAGAAAAAACGGAAAACGATAAATTCGTATCGTGTCCAACGTGAGGTCCGGTCGTCGACGTTTCATGATGACGTCATTTTATCAGAATGACAAGAATTCCCTCGCGGAGAGTTGTACCTGCAAGTAAGAATACTGTCCCTTAGTAGTAGCTAACTGACTACACAACCATATGCTATTCGAGTATAAGAGTGGTAACATAAATTGTGAGACTACACACGCTTTATACTTTCTTTTTTTTCCCTGTGTATCAGTTGCAAAGATTTTTTGCTTTCGTTTTTGTGAGTCATCATAATCCTAGTTCAATTTAGTTGTTCTATTACAAGAAAGATAAAAGAAAGTTTTATTTCAAAAGTTACAAGAAGGAAAAAGAAATTACTTTTGCAAAATTGAATTCAATACAATTTTGGAGTTCGATACTCGTCACTGACATTTTTGTTTTAATGTTCTCTATTTAACTGAAGTTAATGCTTACTTTTACTTATTGTTAGTTTTTTAATGTAACGTGCAGATGATCCAAAACTATCAGACACCCGCGCGATCTTTTTGCTATAGATTTATATGTAATTCTTTTTTTTTCAAGTTAAGATGTATTCACTGTTTTTTAATAATTAGCAGTTAAAAATATAGCAATTGTTTAGCAAATTAAGCTTTAGGAAAAATGTATAATTTTATTTATTTTATAAAATGTATACTGTTGATAAATTAATTAATATACATATATGAAATGCACATTTTATAGATATTACATCGCGATAAAAAATGTTTATACTACATGTTTATGTATGTTTATACACATATTCCAGCATGAAAAATTTTTTACCGCTATACAATTTTAATATTTCTTTTATTTAAATTTGTTACATACATATAAATACATCGACTATATTAAGTAAAGAAAAGTATTACGATTAACTAAAATTATTTTCTAGTGATGTTGTTATCAGATTATTTTTTTATCAATCGGCCTTTTTATCAATTATCTAAGTTAAGTTTTCCTTTGTTTCAACTTCATGTTATTTTCCTATTCTACATATACAGCTTAACTTTATAATTCATGTAAGAGTTTATATACTATTTTGTTACATTTATACATACATATTTAATATATAGAGTAGAGCGGGGCTATTTTGTTCATTTCTCATGATATTGTTTATATTTCTGAGCAGCATATATTTAACATTAGAGATCATACTTGTGCTCTTAAGAAGCAGTCATGATTGTATAAGGTAGTTATAAGCACTACTGCATAAAGATATTGTTTGTTGCCAAAAATTTTGTGTTACATTAAGAGGTCCAAAATAACGGAACAGCCCCGTTCTACTTTTAGAATATTTTTCAGCATCATCGATGCATAGCAATATAATAGATTAACAAATTCATGCATTCTTAAAATTTTTATTTGTATTTTCTTCATGTTTAGAAATCAAATTTCTGAATCTATTGCTCCGGTGATCAATATGTCGACTGAAAGTGTGGAAAAGCGATATGATGATATAATAAAATCACAAAATGACGACCGATTATATAGAGGTTTAGTGCTCGCTAATAAAATGAAAGTTCTTTTAATAAGCGATCCAACAACTGGTAAAAGTGCTGCTGCAATGGACATTAATGTCGGTAATTATATTTTGTAATATTATTTTGCTATTTTGATCGCATATTCTAATAATTTTCGTAAGCACATTTTTATAAAGTCATTTTGCACATATTATAAATTATAACAAATATATAGAGAAAACCGAACCCGGATCTTATGCATTCCGTACTACCGTCCTAAACTTTTAGGCCATGAAGTCAATATTTTGATTTTTTTTGTCGTCCGTGTTTATTTTTTTTAACCACGTTATATTGTTAATATTGTTAATATTTTCTACTGGATTTGGTTGTATTTTATAATATGTGATGGAACCAACATATTTTTATTAATAATTTTCAAATTATTAATTTCAAAGTTTAGAGATAAAATATGTGTTACAGGCTCTATGTGCGATCCAGATGATCTACCTGGATTAGCGCACTTTTGCGAGCATATGTTATTCCTAGGATCGAAGAAATATCCTGAACAAAATGATTACGATACGTATCTGTCACAGAATGGTGGTTCGAGTAACGCATCAACATTAGCCGATCATACCACTTATTATTTCGATGTAATTCCCGAGAAATTAGAAGGCGCTTTAAATCGTTTTGTTCAATTTTTCTTGGCGCCTCTCTTTAAGGAAGACACGACTGAGTTAGAACTAAATGCCATAAATTCAGAACATGAGCTACATTTAACGAATGATTTGAAGCGATTTAATCGATTTGAACAATCATCTGCGAGCTCAAGTCATCCGTATTCGAAATTCTTTACAGGAAATAGAGAAACATTAGACACAATACCGAAACAAAAGGGCATTAATGTTCGAAATAAGCTACTAGAGTTTTATGAAAAATATTATTCTGCAAATATTATGTCACTGTGTGTTCTTGGCGAAGGTACGACGATAATTTATTGAATCTATTTATGATTAGAACGTCTGAAAATATTTGCTATATATTATATTAATAAATACATTTTCTGTTTAGAGAGTTTAGATGAACTCGAAGATATGATAGTGAATCTGTTTTGTGAGGTACGAAACAAGGAAATTGAAGTTCCATCGTGGCCTGAACATCCATTCAACGATGAACATTTCCGCACTATATGGTATATTGTTCCGATAGCGGATACAAGAGGCTTAGACATTTTCTTTCCTTTACCAGACATGCATCAACATTACCGGTCTTCGGTAATATAATATACTTTTCTTTTGTCTTTGGTACTTTAAATGAATATTATATCGTAGTTCTTAATTTTAAGTATAGTTACAAAAGAAAAACGAGTTTACTAAAACGAGATCAGTTATTTTCTGTAGTTTCTTAGCTGAATACGAATCCGCTTTTTAAATTGATCCATCACATTACAATTTTAAGAAATTGACAGTTAAAGTTGCAAGAAAGGGTTATTTTTTACTATTTTGTTATATTATAACTATGATATGTGACGTGCTGGTACAATTCCAAAAATCGGATTCGTATTCAGCGTTTTAAATTATGGGATTGCGCTACTTCGTTCCAGCGTTCGATAAAAGGTCGGTTTTTGTCGAACAGTGTTTTATATACACATTACACACACACGCGCGCGCGCGCGCGCACCCCTCACCCACACACACACACACACGCGCGCACGCACACACACACACACGCACGCGCGCGCGCGTTGTCCAACAAGTTTTGACAAAATGTTTATGTGTAGATAGAGAACTAAACTGACAAGGGAAGTTTCGCAACTGTCCGGAATCGATTTGATTCTCCTCGAAATATGTCGTTAAACACAAAAATTTAAGAGACACGTATTTTTTTATAAGTGCCACAACTGTTTAAGGGGTGAAACACCCTTTCGAAAAAAAACGGTATTTTTCTTTCGAGGCGAATATCGTCGGAAGTATAAAAGATAGAAAACAATTGTTTTAATATAAATTATACGGTTTCAAGAGTACTTCAATGTTGTGAAGAAAAAAAATTAAAAAAATTTTTTTGTTAACAATTGTTAAATAAATTAAAGTTTTTTTTCTTCACAACATTGAAGTACTGTTGGAACCGTACAATTTTTGTTTAAAAATTTTTTTGTGAAACTTCTCTTGTGTGTCAAAAAGTTCTTTACCATTTTGCAGTTTTCGGAATTTCCTTTTTAAGTTACCCATTGAGCAGAGTGTCTATATAATCGACGTATAAAACAACTTTAAGATATTTTAAACTTTTAAAAGGTTTTTAAGAAACACCTTTAAGATATTTTGTAAAGAACTCTCAAGAGACCTTAAGATTATCTTATGCGTCTGCAATTTTACCCGCTTATTCGACTATATTTAAAAATTAATATCTCTTTAACTATTGTGAAAATTGCAAATGGTAGAGGACTTTATGACTCAGTTTAGTTCGCTCTATCTGTGCAGGAAATATTTTGCGGTCATTCAGACACCCTATACATAAATATACAGGGTGTTTCATTTTAAGTGATATGGTCGATTATCTCGCGAATCGATGATTTTATTGAAAAATTTTTTTAACGAAAGTTGCATGGCTTGAAGGGGAACACATGGTAGAAATGTGGACTTGACCTTGAGTGATCTTGTCAAAATCAGGTTAAGATCATTAATGTTTTTTTAAATGGAAACCCCTATTTTTTATTCCATATTCTTGTAGCTTACCTCGAGAGCTTTCCAAAATACTGTAATAAAGTTACAGCTCATGTGACCTTTAAGCGAGTATCCAAGGTCAAACCAATGGTACCATTATATGGCCCCCTTGAAACCATACAACTTTTGTCTGAAACATTTTCGTGTAAAATGCAAGGGAACTGAAATGTTTGGAGTGATAGATTAAAATGGGCCACCCTCTGTATATATTCATATATGCTCCTATATGGTGTGTCAAATTTTAATTTCCCAGGCAAATATCTCGAAAAATATGGAAGATATAGAAAAATGTTCCAAATGAAAGTGGAACGGTTTCGAGGGGAACGTATTTTGGTCATATTATTTTTTTTCTAGAACAAAAAACCAATAGTTGACGAGATATTTTACACTTTATACTGGCACATACTGACATAAAATGTTGAATAACTTGTAAACTATTAACATTTTGATAATTGTATCTTAATACTTTTGTGAACAGAATAATGAAATGAATCAGTTGGTGGAAAGAAAATACATAATTGTTTATTTAAAAAAGTTATCTATTTTGCACACATACATATTTTTTTAAAGCAACTATATGTTTTCTTTACACAAACTGATACATCTCATTATTTTGTGTGTGTGCGCGCGCGCGTGTGTGTGTGCGTGCGTCCATGTGTGTGTGAACATATATACTTTTTTACATTTATTGTTAATTTGTCAATATAGCCTGAACGTTACGTTTCTCATTTGCTTGAACATGAAGGAAAAGGCTCATTATTATCAGCTTTAAAAGCCAAGGAGTGGAGTACATCCATAGTATGCGGAAAACGTTCTCCTGCCAGAGGCTTCAGTATTTTTGAAATTTTTATCAATTTAACTGAAGAAGGTATTAAGCATATCGAAGATATTGTTCTACTGGTGTTTCAATACATCAATATGCTTAAGTTGAAAGGACCAATCAAATGGATCTATGATGTAATTGACGAAATAAATTATAATTTTATGTAGAATGTCCGGAAAATTATGCTATCGCAATGTACCAGACATTTTGTACTTCAATATCGTACATTAAATATGAAATAACGTGCATTTTATACATTTGCAGGAATATACAGATATTGCGAGTACAAACTTTCGTTTTAAGGAGAAGTCTTGGCCTCGTGATTACGTGAAATTTACGGTTCGAGCGTTGCAAGAATTTCCTATGAATGAAATTTTATGCGCGCAGTGTATTGACTCTGACTGGCGACCTGACTTAATCGAGGAAATAATGGGATATTTGAAGCCGGAAAATGTTAGGATTCACGTAGTTGCAAAAGCATATGAAAATATAGCGAATGAAACTGAAAGATGGTGCGGTACTAAATATAAGAAAGTGAAGGTACACAAGGAAACGATGGACATGTGGAATTCCGCTGGTTTTAACGATGACTTGAAATTGCCTCCCAAGAATGAATTTATAGCAACTACATTTGATATCAAGCCACAAACTAATGTAATTCAAATTATCATCTTTCGTAATATTAATTTTTCATCACACATTGTGATACTCAAAGCAAAATCTCCATGAAGCATAAACTGTATCGTGAAATTTGATGATATGAAATAGAATCTAATTAATGTTAGAGTAAAGTTTGTGTAATAATTACGTGTGAAGTGCATTTGACTATAATATTTCTATACTAACTTTACAAAAATATGTGCCGATCTATATGTAATAATTACGTGTGAACTGCGTTTGAATATAATATTTCGGCACTAACTTTACAAAAAATATGTGCCGATGTTTAAACATTAATTCACACGATAGGAAGCTAAGAGATTGTGATACAAATAAGGAAAGTGCGATGCAACAATTTTGATTTTGATTTATTTTTGTATATGAAATTGTCCTTTGCCCTATTGTATTTGATTTCATTATGTATATATTTGCATGTCGTTGTATACATTAACATGCATGTCATTGTATACATTAACAGGTGAAATTTTACAGGTTGAAAAGTTTCCCATTATTTTGGAGGATACATCATTTATAAGACTTTGGTATAAAAAGGACGATGAATTTCTTGTGCCTAGAGCAAGAATGAACTTCCATTTCGTCTGGTATGTATTACGTGATTGTAAAAGATATGTTGCTGCTCTAATTAAATATTTAATGCCGAAATATTTTTAAATGTAATTTTGAAATATTCTGGCAACTTAAACGAGTTTAATTATTAATTCACAATATGAAATTAGTAGATGGTGGATGTAAAATTAAGTTCATTTTTTTAAACAGTTTCAATGATAACCAACGTATTAATATTATTTGGTATGCACATATTAATGTGTATATTAACGTGCATACTATATAATATTAATACTTGGTATTCTTGGTACTAATTGGTTATCACTGAAACTATTTAAAAAAAAGATAAACTTAATTTGGCAATTATGATTTTTAAAATACTATTACTTGAAGACGAGAATTAAATATAACAAAAAAATATTTTCTATAATTATGCACAATGTTTGTTTTGTCTCTAATTTATAGCCCATTTCCCCGTATGGATTCCCTTAGTTGCAATTTGACTTATTTGTTTAATCAGCTGTTGAATGATTCTCTTGCGGAATATACATATGGTGCTGTTTTAGCTGGTTTACAATGGGAATTTGATTCTACTTACTATGGAATATCAGTGAGTACATATATAATAACAGTAAATAAAAATATAACGTCTATTATTTAAATAAATTTGAACGTTTATTTGAATAAATTATTATTCAATTTGTTATTAATATTAGTAATGTTTAAATCAAACGCTATTTTACACATATACATAAAATATTGCTTTTAGAAATCATTTATTTTTTATTTCTAATTTGTTATTCTTAAATATGCTCAATTCTGTTCCTATGTAATAATCAATTCCTATGTAATAATATTTATCAACTGTTTTACAAAAATAAATTCATAATTTAAAAGATTAATTCTATTTGTAGCTCTATATACATGGTTATGATGATAAACAACGTATGCTGTTGGAAATAATTATGGATCGAATGATAAATTTTAAGGTTGATCCGAAGAGGTTTGAAATAATAAAGGAACAAGTACGCGCAATAAATATAATCAATATTTTTAATTTAATTAAGCAACATATTTATATAGAATTATTACAGTGCATCAGGAACTTGAAAAATTTCGCTGCTAGACAACTTAGTAGACAAGCTGAATATTATCTTGGATTCCTATTATCGGAGCAAAAACTTGAAAAATTTCGCTGCTAGAAAACTTTGTGGACAAGCTGGATATTATCTTGGATTCCTATTATCGGAGCAACGTATTCACTTTTCAGAATTACTGGAAACTACTACCTGTAAGCATAAAAGAGAACTTGTACTTTTTGTAAAAAATTATTTTCTTTTCTCTCTCTCTCTCTCTCTCCCCCCAATTTTTTTTAGTTCTTAGCATAATAACAGCACATATTAATAACGTACAATTAATATTTCTGATGTATTTATGGTTATATTATTTATTCTATGATAGATTTAAGTGTCGAGGGACTCCAGCGGTTTATACCACAGCTACTCAGTAAGATGCACGTCGAGTGCTTAATATATGGTAATGTGACTGTAATGGAAGCTAGAGATATAATTAAACTAATTGAGTCTAAGTTAACAACTGGAGTACCCAACAGAATACCCTTGTTAGAACAGCATCTAGTATTGTCACGTAACACTAAACTAGAAGATGGTAAGCATATAACGTGATCAAATTTCATTTATGATAATTTGATAAAATTAATATGCTTGTGCCCGATTGCACTAACGTTACTTTAATTTTCTCGCGGAGTAAAAAGGAGATCAAACTCAAAAATTTAGAGCCTTAAAATTTAGAGCCGAGAGAGAAGTAGAGAAGGACAGAGTTTTAAGTCTTGTTTGAAGTTGAAAGTAACGTTGGTACAATCGGCCGTTAAAGAATTTCGTGAAAAATTTTATTATTTCTATTTTCTAACAGTTTCATATAAATGCTAGGTTAATTATAGATAAAAATATAAAAATATGAAAATGAAAAATGTAATCTATTTCAATATAAAAAAGAAATATGTAGAAGTAATAGAAAATTATTTGATATTGAAAACATTTTTTTATCTATAATAAAATTTTTATCTTAGAAATTAGATTGGGTCTTCATTTAATATTGCTTATATGATGTAGAATGCAACAATTTGTAACAATATGTAATATATGTGTTTACAGGTTGTCACTTTCTGTTTGAAGCAGAAAATAATTTTAATAAAAGTTCTTGTACACTGGTATATTATCCAACTGGTTTACAATCAACAGAGTCGAATATGCTCTTACAGCTCTTAGAAAAAATTATTGCGCAACCTTGCTATAATACTTTAAGAGCTAACGAGCAATTAGGCTATAGAGTATTCAGTGATATATTTCAAACGAATACATATAGTGGAGAACAAGGCTTGGAAATCTTTGTCCAAAGTGATGAACACCCGCAATATGTCGAAAAACGAATAAATTTATTTTTAGACTCCATGTTGGTAAGTATAATATAATCAGGAGACGCGGTAGCGTTTCCAGTCAAGTATATTTTTGAAATTACAATACATTAAAAATATTCTTTTGATGTTATTATGAAGATATATCATGGAAAACCATGTCATGAAAGGGACGCTACAGCGTATCTTTTACAGGAATGAACTCGCTTATGGAATTAAAAATTATTTTGTTTAAACAAATTGATGTTATTAAAAAATGTATATATTGGGGAAGACTGTAGATTTTTACAATTAAAATGAGATAATAGTTATGTCCGTAAGTGTACTTGATATGAATATGTGTATGTATTTTTCAGCCCGATTTATGTCATTTATTCATTCAGATACGTCGTCATCGTCGTCATCGTCGTCGTCGTCGTTGTCGTCTTCGCAAAATCATGTCTCCTTTTACTACACCTTTTTTCTGCTAATATCTTACATGGTAAAAAATACTATCTATTTGTGTTGGAATATAAATGTCAATTATACTAAAAAATATACTTTTGTTTACAAACTGTGTCGGTATTACTTTTTGTGTGATCGTTTTTTATAGATAATATCTATGTTTTCTACCATATTCATCATATGTAAATGGACACAAAAATTTGAGTGGACTGTTTATGACTTGTGTTATTCGACATAAATTTTCTATCAGTGTATACAATAATAGTACATGTTAATGCATTGATTAATGGAACTACATTTTTTTTTACATTTAACATACAATATCTTATAATATTATTATCAAATTTATTACTTCATTTTTTATGTGACAATATGAGGCTGTATTTTTATTAAAGTTAATATTACTAATAATTTCATTCCAGAATCACATATCTACCATGACAGAAGAGCAATTTGAAGAAAACAAGAAAACTACATTACGTTTTATTAAACCAAGAAAGTTAATTGCAAAGTTAGCCATGTACTGGAGTGAGATTATGAGCCAACAATATAACTTCGATCGATTCAATATTGAAATGGCTTACTTAAAGACAATATCACGGCAGCAATTACTGAATTTCTTTAAGGTGATCAGTTCACTTTTATGTACAGAACATATAATTTAATATTATTCCAAAAGGAAAATGTTTTATCGTAAAAAAGAAATAAAAAATATAGAATGATTTTTTTATGAGACATAATTTTTGAGAGAAATAACTTTAGTAGTTTAAAAATTAATATATAATACATCTATCATATAAAATCTCCTAGGAAACTGTATATAGTAAGGATCGACGTAAATTATCGATACATGTGATATCCACAGCGTCAACTGATGAAAAAGTTAGGAAAATCGACGATATTTTGTCATTTAAAAAGAGTCAATCTTTGTATCCTCTACCTAATCGCTTAAAAAAATTTCCTCATGAAAGGCGTATGTTCTTGTAGGTTATAAAAAAAGTGATAAGGTAATAGTGAATTAAACGAATGAATTTACTTACGCATAATTTAAGTAAAAACTTGACGCATTATTTTAGAGAAATTAATAAATCACTTGCAGTTTTTAAGGTGGTTCTTTAGTAAACCCACACAGCATTGAAAGTTTTCAGAAGTAATCTTCCAAAGGACTCCCAAATTCAAACAAAAAAAAATCCAAAAGCAGGGCGATTGAGAGTCGGCGTGGTAATTAGTATGCAAAATTAATTCTTGAACCTTTATTCCAATAATCTTTGGACGTTTTGACTTTCTTTGGAGTCTTCAGCAATACAACATTAAAATTTTTTCCTTTGTATGTCTAAGGTGAAATCAATCACATTTGGTAATTTGATGTTGTACATCCTATTACAACATTAAACTACATAGTATAAATTATATTTATTAATAAGAAGAAAAACTAATGACAGATAGTGACTCACAACAAACACGAAAGGAAGTCGTCTTAAAACATTGGTTCAAATAATGATAAGATACTATGGATTAACATTTCAAATTAAATGCAAATTGAGAAAGCCTTATTAAACACATGTTAATGATAGTTCGTGAGGGAATTAATGACTGATACAATTTAAATAATAAGTAAGACATGTCGATCACTGAAATAAATATTAAAAGAAGAGGCGAACATCAATATATAAACTGTTACAAGGAATTACGTGTGAGTCAACTAAATAAAATAAAACTATTTTATGTCTTTCAATATCTGTACATAAGTGTGATGCAAGCCCTCAATATCTGAACGCAAATTGTGACTGTTTTCTTGCATAAGATTATTAAGACATTCTGACGTAAGTCGCTTATTAAGGAAACGCTCTTCACCGAGTACTGCGACATTCTCCCAGTCGAAGTCGTGTTCAAAATTAATTCGATGTTCTGTAATCACCGAGTGATTATTAGTATTGCCGTTTTTGATGCTTGTATTACTAAAGAGGATTCCAAAGAGAGTCGAAACGTTTAAAGATTATGAGAATAAAGGTTCAAGAATTAATTTTGCGTACTAATTACCACGCTGGTTCTCAATCGCTTTGGTTTTGGATCCTTTTTTTTTTATTTCAGAAATATTTCAACTGAAAAGTGAAACATTGAGAAATACGTCTGCAACATTTCTGAAACAGCTCTGGAATAGCAAAATGTCCGCGATTCGTAAATGATTGCGTTCAGCAGACTCAACAGTTTTGCAACCGTTTTATGATTGTCTGTTGAGATAGGACCATTCTTCTAGATCTAAAAGTATGATCCAATCAGCGCGAAGGAAACTTCCAACAGTTGCAAAACAAACGTTCTGCTGAACGCAGCCAATATGAAATCTTATTGAAAGGTTGCTGAGCAGTTACAGAAAGAATCTGCAATTTTTTTGAAATATATTATCAAAAAGGTTTCTGCTATTTCTCTGGTACTTCAAAAATGATATTTAAATATATGTATATTTAATTTTATGTGTGCTTGCGTGTGATAGTTAAATAAGAATATTAGTTAAATAATATTTAAATTTATTATGTCAACATAATAAATTTAAGTATTGTTTAAGGATTAACTAAACATATATTTAAATAATATTTCTGAAGTATGTAAGATTTATTAAGAGTTTTGTGATCTGTTTACGGATTACAAAACTTATTGAAATAAATTATTTCTCCAAAATGTTAATTTTACTGCCAACTATTTTGGTTAATTGATGACATTATATGTATAATCGCATATATATAATCACTATTAAAAAATCGTTTACACCTGCAGTCCGACACAATATCGTTAATCATATACAAAAGTTTTCGCAATTAGTAGAACAAGTCACCATAACATCATAACGACGTTAAACTGAATCGAGATAAAAAAATGATTTTTAGTAAACATTTTGGAACCATTTTAACGTCAATTTAATGGTCAATTAGTAAAATTTTTTCTTCTGACTGGCCAATCAAAATGCTTCGAAGCGCCAAACGGACCGCACTCCGTATCACGATACTTTTTCTTACATCACCCTAATTCGCGTGCGGTTACTGGTTAAAGAGCCTTGAACTATGTTTCCAATGGTTAATTTAATAGTATACAACAGGTTATAACAGTGTTTATTTTTTAATCTGTCAAACAAAGATTCGCCCTGATGTGGTTACTGGTTAAATAGCCTTAAACTATGTTTCCAATGGTTAATTTAATAGTATACAACAGGTTATAACAGTGTTTATTTTTTAATCTGTCAAACAATACTCCGAGTTTTGTGTTAAATAATTGATTGATTGATGTCTATGGCCGGTATTCATAGCCGTTTCTTATAGTTTAAGATCGTCTTAAGTAATATCTTAAGGTGCTAATACGACTTTCTCGGATGACATTTATATATAGTCAGATCTTATTTAGGACCGTGTTAAGTACAGTCTTATGATATTATATGAACCAATCAAAGAGCGGTATTAACATCCTAACGCATAACATATCTTGAAATAAGAGTGAATTATGAATATCGCGCGGCTCTCGACTGATTTGCATTAAAAACTTCGATTAACTTGGAATTAGGGATTATGTAACTAATCGAATGATTGTTGTACTATTTTGTTAACATAAACAGGATCAGTTTATTGTAATTTAATATAACGGAGAAAAAGATTATCTCGCTTCAAGAAATGCCGCTGGTTAATCGAACTGAATCGCGACGCTTTCTCGTCTGTTCTCGTCCGGATTTATCCAGGGAATTTTGCTTCAATTCATTGGATGCATTCAAAGCAAACTCATTGGGTGCATTCAGTATGGAATCCAATGCAGCTTGACATATTCCGTTAGAACCGCTCACTGAGCGCTTAGTGAGCTCTTGTATCTGTTTGGTTTATATTTTTAGTTCTAACGGAATATGCCAAACTGTTTTCTCTGCTGAACGCAGCCATTGGCTGCATTCAGCAGACTCAACAGTTTTGCAACCGTTTTATGATTGTCTGCTGAGATAGGACCATTCCTCTAGATCTAAAAGTATGATCCAATTAGCGCGAAGGAAACTTCCAACAGTTGCAAAACAAACGTTCTGTTGGATGCAGCCATTGGTCGCGTTCAACTGTTGCGGAGTGGATCAGTGAGCTCTCGCTATTATTGGATGATCTAAAAGAATACACCAATAGCAGCGAGCGCTCACGGATCCGCTCCACAAAAGTTGAGTCTGCTGAACTCAACCATTGGCTGCGTTCAGCAGAGAAAGCAGCTTTGCAACTGTAGTAAAATAGATCTGTAAGGAACCAAAAGCAAGAACCAATCGTATTGAAGAATTTTACAACAGTTGCAAAGCTGCTTTCTCTGCTGAACACAGCCATCGTGACTGATTGTGATCACAGCTGTTTGCACAGGTTGCGTTACACAGCTGACACACATAACCTCTACCGCTAACTGAATACAGAGCTCACTCCGATAACGAAATGAACAGAGTACATTTTTCTTTTTTTAATTTCTGTATCTGCCTTCAGTAAATCAGGGAGATCAATAGCTCTCCAACGAAGTTCACAGTGTTGGAGGTTGAAGCAAGGTTGGAGTATGTTTATTGTTTACGACACTGAAACGGTCCAATAATGACGGTGCAGGAAGTGATGGTAGGAATCCGATCTGGTGGTCGGGTTTCTTTATATACAGGACGTATATTGCTCCGCAAAGCCATCACGAAAGTTAGTAGCGGTGAGATTTGGCCGACAGAGGGACAGAAAAGACGGAAAACGATAAATTCGTATCGTGTCCAACGTGAGGTCCTGTCGTCGACGTTTTACGATGTCCTCATTTGATCAGAATGACAAGAACTCCCTCGCGGAGAGTTGCAAGTAAGAATACGGTCGCTTAGTAATAGCTAACTATTGACTACACAACCAAGTGCTATTCGAACCTAAGAGTGGTAACCTAAATTGTGAGACTACGCACGTTTTATACTTCCTTTTTCTTTTCTCTATGTATCAGTTGCAACAATTTTTTCTTTTTCATTTTGCTTTTCATCATAATCACAGCTCAGTTTAATTGTTCTACTACAGGAAAGATAAAAGAAAGTTTTATTTCAAAAGTTACAAGAGGGAAAAATATATTATTTAAGCAAAATTGATTTAAATACACAATTTTGGAGTTGGATATTCATCATTGACGTTTTTGTTTTAATGTTCTCTATTTAACTGAAGTTAATGTTTACTTTTACTTACTGTTAGTTTTTTAACGTAACATGCAGATGATCCAAAGATTTATATGTAATTCTTTTTTTTTTTTTCAAGTTAAGATGTATTCACTGTTTTTTTAATAATTAGCAGTTAAATATAGCAATTGTTTAGCAAATTAAGCTTTAGGAAAAATGTATAATTTTATTTATTTTATAACATGTATACTGTAGATAGATTAATTAGTGTGCATATCTGAAATGCACATCTTATATTTCATCGAGATAAATAATTTTTTACAAGTGAATATGTAATATATAATACATAAACATATAGAAACGTTCGTAATCATACATAATTATATATGGGATATGTCCATACATGTTCATACATTCTTTTTTCTTTTGTAAAATTACCATTTAGTGTAATAGAAATAATAGTGAGAAAAAACATCAAAAATAATTAAAAGAATAATTTTCACATTGTTTGTTGTAAAAAAATTGTTCATGTACAATTATATATAATTTTATTTGTAATTATATATGAGTAGTTCTTTTACATTTCTCCGAACTTGTTTTTTTCTAAAAGAAATACTATGAAAATTATCCTTGTAATTATTTTTTATGTTTTCTCATTATTATTATTTTTATTATATTAAACAGTAATTTTACAAAGAAAGAAGGATGTATAGATATGCCATGTATAATTATGTACATACTACACTTTGTGAATGTTTATACTACATGTTTATGTATGTTTATATACATATTCGAGCATGAAAAATTTTTTACCGCGATACAATTTTAATATTTCTTTTATTTAAATTTGCTACATACATATAAATATATCGACTATATTAAGTAAAGAAAAGTATTACGATCGTCAACTAAAATTATTTTCTAGTGATATGTTGTTATCAGTTGATTTTTTTATCGGTTTTTTTATCAATTATCTAAGTTAAGTTTTCCTTTGCTTCAACTCTTCGTGATATTTTCCTATTCTACATATACAGGTGTTCGTC